CTATTTCTAAGTGGTGTTCAAAAATATGACGAAGTTCAGCAAAGGGCTAAGATAATTTATTTCCATTGGAATCTTTTTCAAGTAATTACTCATCAAGCCAATCTTGACCTGTAACTGGGGCTAATATGACGCTGTAAAATCTTCTGTGAGCGTTTTCTGTCCCCTGACTTGTAAAGACTTGTAACTTGTAAAGTAAGTTAGTAGAATATGTCACAACATTATACTGTACCTTTTTTACCTGCTAGTCTCTGCCATAATTCTGTCATTCACCCATCTCAGGCTACCTCATGCTTGTACAGTAATTTCTTATTCCTGGCAAAAAAAAATAATTGGTGCTATCACAGTTTTTGCAATTACCAAAATAACTTACTCCCTATACATGTATATTGTTGTGTGACCCTAAATTCTAAGGGGAGATCATAGAAGAACATTCTTTCTTCAACATCCTTGATTTTAGAATAGTGTATATATAAGGATAGGTGCAAACCTCTGGAGATCTAAAATCTTGAGACTCTATCTCTTGCACTAACCCCCAAATGTCAACAAACCCTTACCCCACAAACCCTAACTGCCCTTACCGCCAAGCCCATTTGGGGGATAATAGTGACTGGTGGATTATTTGAGATGGGTGGCCGTGAGCTTATTTAATTTAGAAAAGACAATAGTATCAGTTCTTCCATAAAGAAGTAGGAAACAAAATAACTTTCTTCCCCTGAAAATGGGGACTTAAATAAAATTATTGTGTATTAGAGGGAGGGGGATTCTTTGAGAGGGGGCATAATAGAGGATTTATGGTACTAATAGAATACATTTAGGCTGTTACAAAAACTCAGACCTCAGACCCTGAAACCTCAGAGTCCTGAAAAACTAAGACCCCTGGATGTCTTGAAAACTTCCTCAAACATTTATATGATCACCGATGATATCACAGTGTGATTCAGTTTGACACCGAAACTACTGCATCCTTCAGTTTAAAAACCTCAGAGAGTTTACATATTTGTTTGATGACATATGAAAAATTCTAGTGACCTAGAAAACATCTGTGTTCTGGAAATCATCTTAATGTGCCATGACCTTGAATTAATCAATGAATGAAGGAATGAATACACAGGTATGATACAACCTGGTTAATTATGGACATTGACAGGACATGCGATAGCATCTTGTTGATGTTAAAACCATTTCCTCTTGTTCGTTTGCCGGCTAATAGATAACTTAATGTGTACATCTAGTCACTTTAGCATGATAGTAGCTCTCTCACACACAAAAATAATTCTGCAACTGACTTGTTTGTTTCAATGGTAACTACATCGTGAGATGGGAAAAGTATCAAGCAATGCACCTCCCCCTCCGCTTAAGCCCTGTCTCTCATGGCTTGCCTTTATGTCTGTTGCTCTGCTATCTCAAAAAAATAACAAAAATAAAAGAGAGAAAGAGAGGCTGCTTGCTATCTAGAGGAAGTTAATATAACATTTGAAAACACTCAGTAATTTGAGGGTCTGAGTTTGGAAACATCCAGGAGCTAACAAAAAGTCTCAGTTTTTCGGAGGGGTCTGTGCTTTTGAGACACCCAATAAATTTATGATTGACATTAGATATTAATGAAATTATTTTGAATGTAATGTTTTCCATGAAGAAGCTTGCAAGTCTTGTTGTACTCTATTATTAAGCCAAGAAATTACACATTTTTACTAAGCTTATGAGCTTCCTTAGAATTTTATTGCTTAGTCATTTAATTGTTTAGTCATGTAACTTAGTCTAGCACATTTTTACTTTTTGCTGATGTTGTTTTACTTTTTTAGAGCACTGTAAAGCTATTATCTCTTAAATGCTGACGTGCCAGGTACATTCTATTATTTTAATATATTTTTTATTTTCAAATATCCCTAGCCTGAATGTTAGCTATCTCTTTTAGACACAAACTCCAGAGAGAGACTATGAGAATGAGGTTGATAATAGATTCATGGTATTGAAATAATGGTAAATACAAATATAAATCTGAGAGGTTACAAGATTTTATTGACTACCGGGGCTCTTGTGGTTTTTCTCTTTCTGAAACCAATACCTTTTTTATTTGATTATTAAACGAATTAAACACTTTAATGGTCAAAAATCACATCCTTTCTTAGTTTCATTTTTGGCAGGAACTTCAGGAATTATTAAAATCTCTTAAAAAATAAGTATAAAAAGTAATTTTTGCACATATATTTTTTTAAGTTCTCAGCACATTCCAGTCATTATATCAGGAATGACTTGATTGAATTATTTAAATCAAAATTCCAGTCAGAATTAAAAGATTGAAATATTTCAATAGCTAGCATCACTTAAAATTACAAAATGTGATTTTTGCATTATGGTGATCATTCGGGGGGTGCACCCTGGGTTTGAAGTGACGGAAATGATAGCAGATTTTTTTTGCGTTTGAAATTTTCGATTCCAGGATTTTTTGGGTAGGAAAGGATTTTTTAGGATCTTCAAAACAATATGAAGCTTCATGGTAGTAGCTGTATATTCCTTGCAGCATAGTGCTGTAAATATAGTACAACCAAACTTGTGTGACAAGGTCACTTAAGTTCATTTTAAGCTTATTTTATTTCCAAATTATTTTCAACTATACTCGTTATCCTAATGATTATTAATTGGTTGTTTACCTAAATATCTTTATTTCCTTACACAACTTATTGTGTTTACCACGTGTAGTTGTATTATTCCCACACATTTCTTGTACCTAAATCCTGTTGTGTAGGAGTAGTAAACACCTAGTTCCCTTAAGTAAATCCTGTATTAGTGGACAGTAAAATCACCCCCTAGCCTTATTTGGTTTTTAGTTAATTTCGATTTCCCTCCAAATTTATTATAAATTGGCAACAATTTGCTCAGTAAATTCAGTTGGTTCAGTTGGTTTACCTAAGAAGGGCAAGTCCTCAAGTCAAGTACATTTTCAAGTCTCCCACGGATGTTTAGTTATCACATTTGGTATGTTACATTATTTTCCTATTTGTTTATTATTTTAGTCCTTTTAGCTTAGTTTATTAGCTTTTTATGTCCCTAGTTTGTAGCAATATTATTTTATAATTTAGCCGCATTTTCAATAGCTTTCTGTTTAGAATGTTTACCTCATTTGACCTCTAGTCTGGCACAGCATGTAATTTGCCTGTTAAACATTCTGCTATTGTTCTCACCATTATTACTGTATCATTGCTTACCTTTGGTTTCCAATCATTTTCTGTAATTGTTCCCTTGTGTTCAATCCTTTTTTGTTCCAAATTATCCTTTTTTCATTGCTTTTCGTGATTTAGTTTCATTGTACTAGTTATTAGCTTAGTCATGCTGTATTAATTGTTATGCAAGACTTGGAATCCGAATCCCTTGTTCTTGTCTATTTTGCACCTCATGTAATAGTTCTCAGATTATACTCAGCTTTTGGTTTGTTTACATTTTTAAGTCACTTTTACAGTTTCTTAAGTAATGTTATTGCCCTTTTTACATGCAATTTATTAGTGAGTATGCAATCAGTTATCTAGTCTTATTCTTGTTTCTAATATTTAGCTTGTAAATACTGTTTAGCTTATTGTAGTTTTTGTTTATTTTTGTATTTTAGTTTCTCGTTCTCGTTTTTTTGTTTGTTCAATAAACTCGTAAAACTTAAGCTCAAATCTGTTGTTCTTGCGTCGACCGTTTTGGCCGTCTTACACTTGTCTTGTAGCTGTTTTAATATTTAACGCATTACATATTACATGTGTTTCATAAAGCTGGCTGACATGCAAGTAAGCAATAATTGTTGTCCGCACCATTTAAAATCCATGGTTCCCCCCTCAGGGTGATGTTGTAAGTTGTAAACATCAGCCCTATATAAAATACTTAAATGAGATATTTCCTTACTCTTTCTCACATATTTCTTATATAAATCCCTACCCTTTTATTCACTTGACAGTGGTGGATCCAGGGGAGGGACCCAGATGACCAACCCCCCCTATTATCTGAAGGTTTGGGATCCGCCACTGCTTGAACCCTGAAAAAGTTATCCCTTCTGCGTGGAGTACATTGTACACCACTATCCTGGCTAGGATTAGGCTGCGTAGCAAGCGTTTCCTCGCGAGGTTCGTCTAGAAAGCTTGGACAAGAGCAAAAAAACATGAATGATGGGGGAGGGGGAGGGGAACGAAGGAACCTTTTTTTGCCTCCGCTCTAACTTTCGCGCAATAACTCGAATGGAAACGCTTGCTACGCAGGCTAGGCTAGGATAGTAATTTACAGGTATTACCACCCTCCTTTGCATTATAAAGGCGATAGTAATTAATATGCCTGTTTGCTGTCAGAGCAGTCTCAGGAAAAATATGACCACAGTTGTTTGAATTGTTTTCCTGGCTTGTGATAAGTGAAAATTTAATAAGAGATTAGAGATTAGAAGTTGTTAAAAAAAAGCTATAGTTAAAACTGTTTTTTGTAATTTTAATTTCAAATTAAAAATTCGCAATTTTTTTTTAAATCACCTCTTATTTTTTTTTACATGTACACGGATATTACTAGCCTGGGGTCGGGGCTCCGCATTGTGGCTAGCCGAGAGGTAGTCCGGGGAGGGGAAAAGGTGGCTCAAGATTAGCCTGCGTGGCAGGCGTTAACGGGGAAGGGGAAAGGGGAATTTGAGCGCCCTAATTCCCTTAGCCTGTGAACAGGCTCTCTGTTTGGGGAAAAAAATGGCTATAATTCCCTTTCCCTTCCCTTTCGAATTCCTGCCACGCTAGCCTGTACACAGACGTTGTTTTATTTTTCTTTTCGTTTTTTTTGAAAACATCGGCGAGCGAAACGAGCGCTCGAGAGCGAGCGCGCGACAAAAAGCGCGGAGTTCGAGAAAGAAAAATAAAAAACGTCTATTTTCTTCTTCCCCCACCACTACCCTCTTGCGCTGGCTGTCAATAAAGACAGAGAATCAGACTATCCCCTCCCACAAGAATCGACGGTGTTTGTGTATTTTTAGATCATGTGACTCTCCTTCGGCCTCAGTTGACAGATGAGTTGTCGAAGCGTGCTTCGTCTTCGCAGGCTAGCACTGTTGGGAAACTTGTACTCAAGCAAGCAAAGGCCTCTTGGACTCCTTGAAGATGTTTCTTCTGACATCTTTCGCTGACACCGTCGTAAGCGGATGAATATGTCAGTTGGCACGTGTTCGCTTCGAAGAACCCTAACCGTAGCTCCGAGCGTGGCTTGCGAAAGGGCCACGCTGCCGTGGGAAAACAGCTGTTTCGAGGACATGAAACTACACTACACCTCAGATGACGTTTTTTAGCGCAGCTTACGTGCAAATGTGTTTCTTGGAGATATACTGTTCATTTCTGCGGCCATTTCACTCACTGGATCATCGGCTTTGAGGTAAAGCATAAGCTTACAACGCATTGTCTCTGAGTAGCTCTGTTGGCACATTTTCATGCTCCTTGCGTTTGTAGCTTACAACGTTTGACGTTTTCGTCTGCAAATTAATCTGTAAACCTCAGGCATTTTTAAAACTAGCAATATAGAGCAGTTTTCGCTGTTGTTTGTTTCCTGTAGTCGAAGAACACTGCTGTTACTATTTGCGCAGGATTTTGGTTTCGCGCCGCGCGCGCGATAAGTCCTTCTTGTTTTACTTCGTTGTTCTTTTTGACGAATGCCCTTGCTTATTTGTCCTTGTTTTGCCCTTTTTGTCGCCTTCTTTTACCGCACTTTTCATTTCCTATTCTTACTCAAATTTAGCTCTGAAAGGGAAACTGTTTTTCTCTTTTTTTCCCGCCCAGGTGATTCTGGTTGTGGGGCGTTCGCGGGAAGTTTCACGGTGGTGGCGCTCTCTTAAAAAAAAAAAAAACGAAGTCATTCATTTTGCTTTCTTGTTCCAGACAAGAGACAATTTCAACTTAAGTTCTGTTTGCATGCAAAATTAAGAATTAAGCTCATTTGATATTGGAAATAAATGGTCACACTTAAATCATGCTCTAAGACCAATCTGGTCTCATTTTTATGTGTGAAGAAGTTACGCGCCAAAAATTTATGCAGCATCTAGAAATTTGTTTACTGATAACTGAATCTCTGTAATTTTAGTTTTTAACTTGTTTTGTTCTGCCACTGCAAAATGATAGACAAGTGCTACCAAGTTTCTTCTGTTATTCAAATCTGGTGTGTTTAAGTTGGTCTTTATGTCCTTTTTGGTTGTAGAAAGCGTCACAGAAAGTCAATGGGATGGCAGTTTTGAAAGCCAAAGGCTCTTAAAGCAGAGGAAAAAAAAGTGAAAGACTGTTGTGCAGAAAAGGCTAATATGGACTGAGGAGCCTTGAAAACAATTGGTAGGTAAATTTTCTCTGTTTGTGAATATTGCCATGGCAAGATTTAGTTACATAACATCAGTGACTGTCTTTTTTAAAACAAAGGTGCATTTCCTTGTATTGTTAAGAGGCACTTTGTTGTTTTTCATTTTCATTAGCGAAGGTATTAAATAATGTTTTGTTCTTTTACCTTTATACACTCTGTGAGTTTGAGAGCTTTAGTCTCTTTCAAGGTAGACTACAGGTAGTCCCTCATTTTCCCTCAGGGATAGCAGGCTTTGTCTGTAGTCCCTCATTTTTCTCTCTCTCTGCTGTGTCTCGCCTTTCTCGCGTAGGGCGATTTTCATGCATGCTCACATTTCGCTTGCCCAACTATGCCTGAGGGAAAATGAGGGACTACTTGTAGTCTACTTCCAAGGAAGATACAATACCATTTTAAGTCAAGTTGCCACCCTATAACAAGGGGAGAGTCAGAGATGAGGGAGGGTTAAAAACCCTATGTACCAACAGTCTTTGGATGGTCTGTGGTTTCAACAAGGAAAATACTTCTGTTCAGAACTTTTGATGTCATGAGGAGTTAACCTCATGTAAAGGTGAATGTCATGTTCAGTTTTGCATGAAATCTTTTAGAGTTTAAACTGAGTTTTTTAATTGGCTCTTTATATTAAGTAACCAAAGCCACATGGAACAGCTCAGGGTTAAGTGACCAACGCAGATACAAAACACATGCACATGCCATCAGCTGTCTGTAATATGAGGATAAATGATGAGCAAACTGTGACTACAATTGATGAAATAATGACTGAACATTGCACTGTGAGCTGCTGTATGGAAATAAACACCTAAGATGTTGTATGGAAAAGTTCAACTGAAAATTTTTTGTGTTGATGAAAACAGCAGCATGTATGTTACTAAAGGGTTGCACTCGATCACTGTGATAAGCCGTATCGATAATAAACATACGAAAAATATTAAATGGATTGAGAAACACCAAACAGCAAATTACTCCCAAGTTTAACAATTAAGGCTAGTAAACTGAGTAAATTAAATCCTATTTAGGATCCTTATACAATCAACATGAATTATTACTGGTATTTGGCGTTGCTGTACCAAAGATTTGCCAGCGATCAAATCAAATCAATAAAATAATGCAAGTATGAATACGAACTTCAGCTTCAGCTGTCAGGGCTTAGCAAACAATTTCTTTCTTCAAAGCCTCTGGATGAGGACAAGCAGAAATGATTCAAAGACAAATAGTATTTTTAAATTTTCTTTTTACATTTCTCTTTTGATGTGATTGAACTCATGTCTTAGCAGACAATCAAGTGTGAGGCATGCATTCATGCAAATCTTTCTGGGGTCATTTCACGTTTATGGATCTTACGGTTGTGAAGATGTTCCATGAACTTAATTAGCGTTATTTACGTTATCCAAGATTTGGAAAATACAGGGAAGAAAAGGATTGAATTTTTAATACACAAAAGTTGGCAGACCAAAAAAGTAATCAGCAAAAGGTTTCAGTCTGGACTGATAGCTCTGCTTTCCTTTATAATGTGTTCATGTAAAATAAAAAATGTCATGTCATGGAAGCACGAGGATCTCTGGCTCAAACCTGATGTAAATAAGTGCTAGTTTGGAAGGGTTGTCGAATATTCACAAATAGACTCGGTTGGTGTTAGTGGTGATAAGAAGGGTGTCCATTGGTACCAACAGAAAAGGATGTCATTCCAATGGTTCTGTTAGTTAATATGCATCTCATTAAGGGGATTTAGATTATTTTCGTCTGTGACCTAGCTGAGTACAGGGCAATTCTGATGGTCCATGGGTACCAATTGTACAATTGGTACCAGCAGAAAATGATGTCATTCCAATGGTTGTGTTGGTGATTATGCCTTTCATTAAGGGGACTTTGTCCTGATTATGCGCACGTGCAAGCGTCATCTGTTTTTTCTTCAAAAGACAATAGAACTGTCACATTGACTTGACAAGATTTGCTTCCTGACTGCACGACCAACGGATATTTGTTGTTTATATTCTCAAGTTCAAAGAAGTCTTTCGCAGCTCAAAGACTCATCATGATTTTATCGTTAGCAGGGCCGCCTTGCGACCTGAAAATCTCGTTCTGCTCGCTTTAAAAACAGCTTTTCTAATGAGAAACTCGTGTCAGAGGTCAGTTTTTCCAAGACCAGTAATATTTGCCTGATTTGCTCGCGTTCTAACCTCAAACATGTGAAAGACATAAATAAAAATGCAATCTCAATGCTATGAATCATAGCAAAGGTTAGCCAAAAATTCATCTCATGGCGCTAGTTTTTCTAAACATGTAGCGCCTGTTTGTTTGATTTTTGTTGGCCGTAGGGAGGTTCATTTAAAAGTTTACTAAAGCGTTGTTGCAAAACATTCTGCTTCATGAAGCTCCCCTCCATAAGATCTCCTCAGTCACATCAATGTCTCAATGGTTTCTTTCTTATTGTTGCTGTTTCATTTCTGTGTATTTCTTTCACAATTATCTGCACTTGTATGGAAGCTAGCAGGAGAAATAAGCCTTCAATTGGCATCAAAGCACTTCCCATGCCAAAAAATACAGATTTCGCCCAAATCGAAACTTAATGGGAACAATATATCATTGATCTGTAATCTGTAACCTAATTTTCGTGTATTTTCTTGTGTATCTTTGCGTGTATGTTTTTACATGAGTGTTTTTCTCATGGAATTTATGTGCAATATGGTGGATTTCCACACATGAAACATGCGGGTAATGCTGCAATGCCCGTGGCCTGTACTGTACTTTGTGTGGAAGCAAAATTGTTTTGTGTGGTTGGCTTATAGAACTTGGAATATTCATAATAACTGTTGGCATGTTTCTACTTGATGTAAAAGGGAACTTGTTTTGCATAGATGTCTTATAGAATGAAGAATACACATGGTATGCTTGTGTTTTGACCTTGCTATATTATAACTGTTAACAATTACTATTAGTGCTAGTTTGACCTCGCTTTCGACTTAGATTATTTTCCCATGTGGACCATCGGAATCGCCATGTACTCAACTAGGTCACATGGGAAAATAATCTAAGTCCCCTTAATGAGATCCATATTCACCAATAGAACCATTGGAATGATATCCTTTCCAATCCTACCACTGGTACCAGTGGACCATTGGTTTGACGAATCGTATCCATCTGTGTATATTGGCCATGTGCGAATATTTTGTGGCAAGTCTCCTTAAGTAACTTGGCACACAAAACACATCCACGATTTTTATGTGATTTCTCGCACAAAAAAAATTCTTGTGTATGATATGTTTAAGGCGCTGAATGCATGGCAAGTCAACGCACGGTGGGCGCACAGGCTTCAAAATGTTACGAGGGTCTGCATTACGAACTGTCCAGCGGATTTTATTGTTATAATAGCATTCACAAACTACACGCACAGTATATTCAACATGGCTTCAGTTGAAGATTTCCTCGATGAAGTACTTTTGAGCGATAATGACAGCGAGTCTGAACAACTTCACGAATCATCCGGACCTCCAAGGACCACTGATATGGAGGAGAATCTAGAAGCTCAAATAGCGTTGTGTTTAGAAGTTTTTGATAAGCTTGATTTGGGACATAACCTCTATTTTTAAGGAGAGCGTTCGGCAACAAATCAAGGGCTCCTTCCAAGCCTTTAAACCACCTACCGACCCTCTTAAAATCCTGTTGAATACAAGCTTAAACTGCAGCTCCCTTTTTAAAACAGAAAGCAAATTATGGTTGCAGAAGATGTATTTTCGGCTTACAGGAAGACCAAGCATCAGAACCCATATCAATGTGAAATTCAAAGAAATATTCCAGTAGACTTGTTTCACTGCCTGAAGAGAGCACTTCAGCATTCAAGAGTTAATAACATTACAGATCACGTCACATATGAAGAGAGGTCAAAGGACGATGTTATTTCGTTTATTTCCAAACAGGCCGTTGTTGTTTTTCTTTCCCTATTGAGTGGCTTAGATGAAAGTGATGTGAAGAAGTACTTTAAGAAATATTTGACTGGCAGAGTAAATGGAAAGGCTACCATTCTTGTAAACACCAGGAAGAAATTTGAATTTATATACGGGAAAAAGAGTTTACAGCTGTGCATTGTATTTCATTATGGAGTTTGGAACAAGGCTGGATTTCCTCTCCACAATTGAATATGGGCAGAAGTTGTGGCACATTGTGGCTCAGTCAATTACAAGCTTGGAATTAGCTGTGCCATTTATCTGGGTTGCATACTAACGCCATATGCCGGCAAACAAACCAGTGGCATCTGAAACAGTCTTTATTTCAAAACTATTGTTCAGTTTCCTTAACATACATTTATAATGTAATAACAATATAATTGACAAGTTCAATAAGTTCGTTGATGCAACAATACAACTTTGCTAAACTGTTTATAACATTAAAATAAGTAAAATATAAATAATTGTTATACAGAGTGATTGCACTCAATTCAAATTCATAATACAAGTTATTTTCATCCAAATATTGTAGTCCAATAATAAATAAACTGTTAAACTTTGTTTTGTGGGTTAAAAAAATATTTTAACATATAAATGCAATTTCTCAGATGCACTTGTGGATAGTTATAGCACTGCATGTAATCTAGTTCAGTCTGTAATCACAATAATTTTGTGCGATTATGGCAGCATTGCTTACGGACTGAATTGGACCCTACTCAGTCCTATTACCATTTTAATCAGTTTAAAGGTTACCCTTGTAACATTTTAAAGCCTGGACACATGCTTTGTGAAGATCACAACAGCTTCTTGTCAACAAGAAGTTTCCCCAACTTAACACTTTTATCAATTTGATCCATGTACTGATGTGAGCAGTAATGACACTTCTGTTGCTGTGGACCAATTTCAAGTCCACAGAAACAAGATTCCTCATTGGATACCCTTTTGGGGATGTATGTCTGTTTGTGCTGAAGGTTTTCCTCTTCATAAAAGCCCTTCTCCTGTAACCAAATCAGCTGTACAAATTCGTGGGAAAAATTTGACCCCATCTTCCAGAAAAGTTGGTGTTTTGACTGTACCTTCCAATAGTGATATGCTTTGACTCCCGCCCTTCCATTGAGACACAATTTAGTCCTAACTGGTACTTGTTAAAAACATCCATTGCATGAGCTGGAATTACACGACCTATGCACCAGATTGTTGGGGAAATGGAATTGGTAAACAAACAACATGCTCTAAACAGGTTCAAACAATATTGCTTAAGCTGAGCTATGTCTTGCAGTCTGACATTGACCACTCTGCAAACAACAGAAACAATTTGCCTGAGTTGAAGACAAATGTATGCAAAGACATGGAGTGTGAAGGTCTGCTTCTCACTGTCAGTGGATTGCTTCACTGCATCAATAACAAACATAAAATTGTGTAAAAACATTCTTGAGTCTTGGCCAGTGAATCGGTATTGAAAGTCACTTCCTGAGCCTTTGGTTTCATTAAACTACCGTCTTATCCTTTTGGCAAGACGAGGCAACTTCGCTTTATTTTGTAGACAGTTTACAAGTCTACTAAATGGGGCAGAATTGGGAACTTGTTCAAAATTCACCACTGATTTGTCAAGAGCTTATTTGCCAATACTTTCATGAAGAATTCTTCTAAAAAGCTGCTGGCATGCATTGTTCTTTGGGTGTAAAGGTTCTATGTGGGCCCTATCAATAAACTGCCCTATTAAGGGCACAAATTCCTGTCTGCTCTTTTGGTCAGAAATAAAGCTTGTTATCTTGTTTCTCTTTGTAACCTTAGAACCTTTTTGCTTTTCAAGTTTAAGTTTCAACTTCTCAACCTCCTTAGATATGGCAACCCTTTGATTGTATTCCCATGACTGCCGTGTGTGTGTAGGACCTGGTCCAAATGTCCCACTGATAACATCGCAATTACTGGTATTGACATTGCCAAAAGTTGAAAAGTAAGTTGCACTGACTGACAACTCCCCAGCTAAAAAAGCAAGCATTTTAAGGTCATTTGGAAATTCGGAAAAAAATAAACCTGACCTCTGTTCCATTAACCTGGAATGTTTTCTTCTCAATTTCTGACATCTCGCGAAAAAGAAATTTAACATATCGCTGAACAACAGGCGAACTTTCTGAACAGTTTGCCCCAAAAATAAGAAAATTTTCACTGTTACTTAAGATGTGTTTACCCCTATTAAGGAAACTCACCAGCCATGAACAGGCGGTGTCGTCTTTCCCAAAAGGGGCCCCGTCACCACCCAGCGCCACATGAAAAGTGTTGATCTCATTATTAAACCATACGAGATTCTCCTGAGCAACCTTTAAATAGAATGATGCCAGAAATGGCAAATATTGTGTTAAAGATCTGTAACACCCATTCACTTTCTCATCCTCATTTAAGTCATAGCAAAAATCTTCCTTTACATTTCCAACCCAACCTTTGTCTATAGACTTAACAAATGCCATCAATTTCTCATATGAAAGTAACTTAGCAACTTTAAAGGACATAATATTTTGCTTTTTAAACTTCTTCCTCTTCCTCTTGCTTATCTTCATTGAGAGTGTTTTACAAACTGACCTATCCTTTCTTTTACCCAAGACACCTTTAGAGAAATAAACAGAAATACTGCGCAAATGGTTTTGCTCTGAGTTTTCAAATTCCTGCACCTTTTTATTGTAAATTTGCGGAAATACTTCCTCACAGAACTTTCTCTTTCTGGAAATGGTATTTACCAAACTTTTTGTAGGAAATTTTACTGCTAAAGTTTCAACTAATCAAGCAGCAGCAGGAACAGTATTGGAATTTGTCCCCCCCATGGATTCTTAGCGCTGCATCAAATGTTTCACCACATCTTCTTGACAATGTTCCCTTGGATATGGTTGTACTACCAGCTGTATTACTGGTTGGGTGGTCCTTCCTATTCAGTACTGCCACTGGATGCTTTACCAGAGCCTTCTTCTCCTCCTCAACTTTGTTTATGCATTCTTGAATAACAGATATCTATATATACCAGAGAGATACACTGTAGTAAGCATAAAATAAACTTTTAAATATTAAATTAAATAGATTTCAGGAATCTGAATCCAGTAAAATTGTGAAGTACCAGTTTATAAATATAAGCTTAAAAAATAACTCAAAAGCCTGGGTACAAACTGCAAAGCTCATACATTTTTATACTGATGAGTTCTCTATGAAAAGTTAAGTTAAATTAGCCAAAAAATACTTAAATTTTCTCATAGTCCGAAACGGCAATATACAGAATAACTCACCTTGTTGTCAAGTCTCCTTTTTTGGCAGCGACTGCATCTACACGTTTTCTCAACTGCTCAACTGATTTATGACCGATAGCAGCCTCCTCTTTCGCTTTGTCTGCGGCGCTTTCATCATAAACCCCCCCACATTGAGCGTTAAATACGACTTCCTAATTTGTGGCATCTTTCTACAGGAAGACATGATATAAGGGCACCTTCAATCCAATATATTTCGCACGAAACTTGTAGAATCAGAAAAATAAAAACATAGGATTGTCACCAGATAAATATCCTTTGTAAACATACCTCAAAACATGCCATCAAACACGGAGCTAAAAAACCTTTTGAAGCCAAAAATCGTCCACAATAAAGGACAGATCCATATTGTTTTTAACTCTTGAATGCTGAAGTGCTCCCTTTTGGGCGGTGAATCTCTTTAGTTGGCGGAAACAGGGCGAGTTTGGTGTCAAACGAAAGAAGAACTTCCAAGCTATTCGATCCTGCCATGTGCTTTTGACAAGAATCCTAACACCTCCCGGGAAGAGAGAACAAAAGAGGACAATAAGGGGCGGCAATAACGGCCCTAGTCCTCCCCCCTGTGCAGATAAAATTGTCAATGTTATTCCTCGATGGATTCCGCGGCAAAATTTTGTGTCCCGCGCGCCCACTGTGACGTATTAGAGGCTAAGTGTTTGAAACAGAACAGCCAAACAGGTGAGAGGATGAAGGAAATTTTTGAATAGATGAGCAAGAATGGCAGGAATGGTTTAGGCTGCTGGGCTATACCATAACTTCAAACATGATGTGGCATGAAATTTACCTTGACAAGCACATCGTTTGTATTGTCTTTCTTATTTCCTAGCTCAGGGCATAAAAAAGTTTTAGGTTTCAAAGGGGATTTCGTGGAAGGATGATTATCCGAAGATTTTATTTTAATCGGCTCAGTTTTTTTAATAGTGAACAAAGATCAACTTTTATCTCCACGATACATCTGCGGCATGTAGAAATGGTCTGGTTTTACAAAGTGCATAAGATGGTTCAACCTACAAAAAGAGTATTTCTTAAGGCAGAATTTGTGAAATATATTTCGACGGTGTGTTGCTAATAGTTACATGCATTCTACTTTCAAAGGCTTTTGGTATTGCCTCATTAGGGAACCACAATAGCAAAAAAACCAATAGGTTTAGGGCCTGTTTACATGGAGGTGGGGGACCCCAGGTAGGTGAGGTAACCTGTTTAGGTGGGGTAACCCACCTAAATGTAATCGAAAAAAAAACAGTACTTGGTGGAATCTAAAAGTTTTCTCACAAACTGAGTGGCCAAAAAATATTGTTTCGTGGCTTAAATATCATATTGAATGCCATTATCCTGTCTTGCATCAAGGAAATTGTCAGTGACTGGATGGATTTGATCTCTCATCGGTGAAGTTGTTTGTTTTCAATATTAGCAATTTCAAATGCGTCATGTCC